CAAAGACAAGGCTGTCCAGTCTAACAGAGTGGCTTAGCATAAAGAGCGTTAATCAGAGAAAGATTCAATCAGCTCCTAGTTACTTTAGAGGAGCTGCAGAGCATAAAGAGCGTTAATCAGAGAAAGATTCAATCAGCTCCTAGTTACTTTGGAGGAGCTGCTGAGCTCAGCTGGGGGAATACCAACCTGGCATCTATAGAAGGGAAGGTGACCAGATTCACGAGACGATGCATGAAGCTAAAAAGAGGAATAAATCCTGCGGAGAAAACCAAGAGTCTGTAAAAGACTTGGTCAGAGCTGAATTTTCCACTGGGATGATCCTAAATATTCAGTCAGAGGTGCAGCAGAATAGTTTAGATCAGAGCATATTCCGGGCTGAATGATCAGTCAAAACCCCAGATGTAAAATCTGACTGAGCTTGAACTTTTTAGCAAAGAAAATAGGCTCAATTTTCAGTCTCTTTAGGTCTGAAGAGCTGGTAGAGACCACTTAATGCAGCCTTAATTGCACCACTAAATTCTGCATAGAATTAATATGGCGAGTTGCATCAAATGCATATCACACTTTTCATATTTTTATTACCAAAAGATTAAAAGAAAAAAAAAAAAAAACCTCAAATTCAGGGATTGTAATACGACAAATTGTGAGAAAGTTCAAGGGTTTAATACTTTTGCAAGACACTGCAAGATACTCTAATTCAGAATAATCTAAAAAATTGCCCATTATAGGATCTTATGAGTACATTAAAGTCAAGAACATTTGCATCAGTGTAGTTTCTTATTACTTGCTTTGAATGTCATTTAAATTTAGACAAAATCTGAGTATTTTGCGTGTTTGTTTTTTTTTTTTTTAAGTTGGAAGCTTGATCCATGACACACCTTAAGTGATTTTTTTTTGGGGGGGGGGTTATAAGAGCATGTGTGTCAAACATTCACATTAAATTTGAAGGTGCAGCACAGTGACTGGACAGATGTTATATTATAAACCACGCACGCACACACACACACACACACACACACGCACACACACACACACACGCACGTACACGCAAATGTACACAGCCTCCACATGTGGGACACTTGTGTTAATGCAATCCACATACCATCTCCCTGTTCTTCAACCCTGAGTATAATCTAAAGGAGAGATTTCATGCCTCCCAAAGACATAAGCACATGAGAGAAAGAGTGTGGCCTTATCTGCGTACGAGCCAGACTGTGTACGTTTGAGTTCCACGCTGTGTGTGTGAGCACATCGGAGTCAGAGACTGAGTGAAAGAAAAAAAAAATCCACAAAGAGGGATGTTTATGAAAGTAATTTAGCCAGATAAAGACTTTAGAGTTCTGTTTCAGAAAATGATTATTTTCTGGGAGTAAAATAAGAGTGAGATTCAGAAAATACATAAGTCTCTCAATACTGATGCTGCAAATTGGCTTATGATAGTGCCTCTCATAGACAGAAGCAGAATTCAATGTTGTTTTTTTTCCTCCTCTGATAAGTACACACAAAGGTAAGGGGCGATGCCGTCATATTTGTTAGCCCGACATAGTCACACATATGATCAATTAGGCCACGAGCGTCCATTCATACCAGACAAATTAGGGTTTTTAACAGAGAGCAGAACACTGTCAAGTTCAATTTTAACACACAATTTAGGAAAATAAAGAGATAACTGGGAACATTTTTTTTTTTGGAGAATATACAATACTTCCTGATATTAGTTTTCGGTTGTTGAGCAGGCACTTTCTAAACAAAACTTTCCACGAGATTAAACTACATGTCATACAATTATGGCAGTGACAATGAGGAAGAAAGAAAGAAAGAAAGAAAGAAAGAAAGAAAGAAAGAAAGAAAGAAAGAAAGAAAGAAAGAAAGAAAGAAAGAAAGCAAGAAAGAAAGAAAGAAAGAAAGAAAAAAAGAAAGAAAGAAAGAAAGAAAGAAACAAACAAACAAAGAAACAAAGAAACAAAGAAACAAAGAAAGAAAAAGGACGTAAAGGAAAAAAAAAACGAAAAAAAAAACATGAGTTCAGAGACATTCTGTTTGAAGATGGAAAGCTTCGACTGGAGGCCGGACTGGATCTGCTGTAGGTGAGATCGATGGTCTTAATAAAAGCAAGTATGTTGCTGGAGCACAACCACACAGTAAGAGATGTTCAATGGATATAAAAAGTCTACACACCTCTGGCTTTGTAAAGTAAAAAAAAAAAAAAAAAAAAAAAAAAAAAAAAGTGACAAAGATAAACTTTTTCCTCCTAAACAAACAAACTGAAATCTTTTAGGCGAAACAAAAACCCCTGAAATAAAGTGGTTGTATAGGAGCGTAAGATCCTCTTTTGCTGTTTTTGAACTCCAACAATCTCCTGTACCTCTCGCACGCCTGGGCTGTTAGGATGGCAACACAAATGCCTTTTCTTACGACGAGATTGATCCAACCAAAAATCTGTAGAGCAACCTTCAAAGTCTTCCAAAAGCAGGTGGGGGAATGCATTACGCTTTGACAGGGAAAAAAAAAAAAAAAGGCTGGACTTTTTGTTGTTTTTGTTTTGGTGGAAGTGAAAAAATAATTTCTGAGAATTATGAAAAGTCAGCACTAAAACCTTCAGGTTTCTGCTATAAAGCTGAAGATGAACAGCCGGTGCTCGGACGTATCATCTGAGGAGGGCTGAGTGCAGGAGACGTTCTCGTAATATGGCAGATTTGGATAATTTTCAAGTAAGAGTGAACAAATATTACGAAGTCAACATGTGTCCTGGTGACAGACTCCGACACAAGCTGTAATAAAATCAGAACATGTTTCAGCAAAGCTTTAGCTTACGGTTGTCCACACTTATGCAACCACGTTATTATTATTATTATTATTTAAAAGATTTCAGTTTGTTTTTAACTGAGCGGTAAGGTTCACAGAAAAAAAAGTAAATAAATTGAATTTATAAAGTCCCTTTTCCCAGACAAAAGGTCACAAAGCTCCCCCCATGTCTTCCTGTACAATGCAGTTCAAATGAAATTAACCAAATAAGCAGTTTCACATTAAATCTTATACACCAACACCTATATATAAGCCTATGTTTCACATTAAAGATGGTAAGAGATCAACATCTTTTTGTATCACAGGATCCTGGCATTTTAATGTGTGCAGACTTTTTACACCCACCTCTTCTCTTCATTATTTACCAGCCATAGCATTCACATTTTATCATCATCGGCAACTTTAGCATCGTCTTTTATACTTGCATCATCACTTTATGCATAAGTCTACCTTTTTTCAGACAAACTTCAGGACTTGTAGGTCTACATCTGAGCTAGAACTAGGTTTACTATTGTTTACTGTCAGCATGTGCTGCCTCTGTGGATCTTGCTGATAACTTTAGAGCACTGGTTTCCCCAGCGTAACATACTGTGTTTGTTAGGCAAAAGTAGCATTCATAATGATTGGCACTACTGGCAAAACGGGTTTAATTTTTGCTAGCCAAGAAACAAAAGCACAAAGTGTAAATGTTTTTTTTTTTTGTTTTGTTTTTTGTCTTTTTTTTGTCTGAAAGATCATGGTTTCAGCTTACTTTGTTTTCCCACTTATAGTTCTAATGTTAGATTTTTCGTTTGCATGCTTTTAAGAAAAATGTTCTGTTTCAATAACACTTATACTGGATACTCTTAAAGTGAAGCAGTTAAAATCCTCTCACAGTCCATAGCCACTAACATGTTCTTTTAGCTGTTTCTTTTGTCTTAAATCTCATGCACATTACTTTGTCTGTATTATCTACATTATTTACAAGCAATATGCCGTCCTGTGTACCCAGATCTCTGTCTAAAGTTCTCGTTACGGGAAGTAAAATAATTTATAATCTTAAATACAGTCTTCTTATGAAAAAGTTTCAGGGTCCTTGTATCCCCTTACCTCGTCAGTTTATATACAGAAATATGCAATAGTCCAAAATATGGATTTGATTGCCCGTATAGGGGCTAATACAGGGAGCGGTGCCCTGCACAGGGGCAAGTATCGGACCCACGTCCTTTACAGAGCAAGCATAGAGACCTCTTGGAGTCAAGAAGAAGTCAAGGCAATGTTATGTGACTCTGTCCTCAAAACCACAGTTAGGATTTGGAGGTTCACGCAGAACAAACTAACAGAGACATTTAACCATTGGAACATGTCATATTTTATCACACCGGGAGGGGGGAGGGGAGGTTTTGTTTTTTGAGTTGGGGGACCAGTCTCGAGCTAAGCCACTCTTGATCCAGTTAAAGAAAGAATTAGACCCTTAAATAAATAAATAATAAATAAAGCACCCCCCCAAAAAAAAGAAAAAAAAAAAAAGAAGTCATTTGTCCTTACACGGTTCACATTACACAGGGCAAGGATAAGTCGATGAAGACATGAGACACAGTTACACATAGAAATACAAAAAGAAACAACACTAAAGCAGTTTTGGCAAGCATGCAGGAGCTCGTAGCTCAAACACATGCATTGAATTGAACGAACACGGACACACCACGTCGGGCGAGCAAAAGTGCTGCCGCTGAGAACAACTCCATACAAAGTCCATGTAGCAAATTAAGACATCGTTATTCAGGCCGCTTCCCTTTTCTCTAACAATGCTCCTTGTACATTCAAGTGCAGTTCCTCCCCCCCTGTTTTTTTTTTTTTTTTTCTTTTTGATTAGGTGACTAATAGCTTTGTAAGCCGGTGAGTCAGAGTGGTTGGGTGATACTGTGAGATACTGAATCAGCAGAATGATTTGCCACTGTAGCTCTGTAGGATGATATAGAGGAGGAATAAGCGGGGGAGGGGGAAAACCTTGCATGCAAATGCAACACAGAAGTGAGGTTTTTTTTTTGGTTTATGGTTTTCTTATTCTTTCACAGATCTCTGTTTGGATACAAAAAAACACAGCGGGGTTTTGTGTTTTCTGCATGTCAAAGTTGCCTCTTTCGCTAGCCAGCTGTTCCCTGTCGGAGCCTCTTCAGCACATCCAGCCGCTTGTCTCAAACAGCAGGATGTTGTCGTCAGGCACTTCCTCTTTTTTTTTTTTGTCTGTTTTTGTTTTTCCTTTGAACTGCTTGTCCCGCTCGACAACTTGCTCTTGCAAAGAAACATACCCATGAGGAGTGCAAAGAATGCCATGAGGTTAATGTGATGGCCTCCCAGTTAAACTGGAGGAGGATCAGTGCTGTGAGCAGAGCCTGGTTCTGGGGCTCTGCCCAGCAGTATGTCTGTCTGAGCTGCCATGATGGACACCTATCCTGTCCTCAGTCTGTCTGGGAAGAGTTTTTTTTTTTTTTTCCTCTTGAGAAATGAGGCCAGGGAGGTTGAGAGCAAGGAGGAGAAAAGAGGGGACAAGGAGAGGGCTGGGCGATGGAAACGGGGAGGGATGGGGGTAGGGCAGGAGACATGGATTGGGTGGGAAAAGAGGGGAGGAGGGTAGATTGATCACAGGCTGATGGGGCTGTGTGCAGGGCCTGGTGATGCATTCTCAGGACCCCTGGCCTTTCTCTGCTCTCTGGCCCTGAGGAGAACCAAACGCACATTAGACACACAATCAGAAAACACGTTTGCAAGGTCAGTGTGTGCGTACGGAGTGGCTCGCTAAGCTGTTCACATTGCATTTTGTTACATTACAACCACAAAATTCAGTGTATTTCGCTGGGAGTCGATACGATAGACCGACACAAAGTAGCGCATGCTTTTCTTACATATAAAAACCTTGAAGTTTAGCATGCATTTGGATTCAGCTCCTCTGACTCAACGTTATGAAGAGACACCTGTTGTTGCGATTGCAACTGCCAGTCTTTGCACATCCAAAACTAAATCTTTGACCCATTTTTCTTAAAAAAACAAAAAACAAAACACCCCCCCCCCCCAAAAAAAAAAAAAAAAAAAAAAAAACTCAGGCTCTGTCAGGTTGATTGGAGGTGAACAGCAATGACTTAGCAAATTCTCAGTCAGTAGGACTGGACTTTAACTGTCTCATTCATGAACAAGCTTTTGCCTAAACCATTCCTTTGCAGCTCAGGCTGCACATTTTGGCTTGTAGTCCTGCTGGAAGATGAACCTTCACTCCAGTCTTGACTCTTTTACAGTCTCTAACATATTTTCTTGCAGGAGCTGCAGTTTTAGCCCTGCTTTCCATCCTTCACGGCTATCTTGCCTTTCTAATCTAAGGGCCAGATCTGTGGAATGGATGGTTAAAGGTTGCAGATTTTCCCATTTCAGCATTGGATCTATGCTGCTCCTCCATGGGCCTCTTGGTATGATGCTGATTACTATTCTTCTGTATTTTGCAGTTTATGTGGACAGTCATACCTTGGTGGGTTTGCAGTTGTGACAAACTCTTTTCATTTTCAGACTATTGATTAAATAGTGACTCTTTGAGATGTTCAAAGCTTGGAATGTTGTTTATATAATCTAACTCATCCACAACTTTTTTCCTGACCTGTCTGTTGCATTTCTTGTTTTTTTCTGATGGTGTTTGTTCACTGATGTTCTCTAATAAACAACAACAAAAAAGAAATTTCCAACATACTTCTCATGGTTTCCTGTGGAAAAAAAAAAGAATCTATTGCTAAGCTTCCATTTCCTAATAAAATATATTGAACTTTGTGGTTGCAATCGAACAGAATGTGAAAAAGCACAAAGTGATAAAATACTCTTGCAAAGCACTTTAACAGCAAGTTGTTTTTCTTTTTTTTTATATCATCCCTCAAGTGTCAAAGAGAAATCAGCAGATGTTTGACAAAATCTCCTTAAATTCACATCCTTACACAGCAGACATACACTCAGATCCTCTGTACCAGCTCCATCCATCAAGGCACACAAAAAATTTGCATGCCAAGCAACCCTCGATGTCCCCTTGTGATAATCGGAACATGCCCCCAAGAAGACCGTATGCAAGATTTGCGTCTCTATCTGTCAGTCATGCACATTTATTGTCATCATTCGGCAGTCCTTCGAGGCAGACAGAGAGAGATAGGGAGGAAAGAAGAGAGCAGGAGGGAAGGATAATGATCCAGGAACTCCTCTGCCTCTCCCTCTCCTTCTGCTGTCATGCAAACAGGCATCAGCCTTCGAAAGAGAGGGAGCAAGAGGGGACTCACCTGTTTCAGAGGCCTGTGGTCCATCAAGGGGCTTCACAGGAGCAGCAAAACAACAGCAACTATTAGCACCGCTGTTAGTCTGTGTATGTGTGTTAGTGGGTGGGTGGTATGAGTGCATGACATGGTGCCCTTGCGTGAGATGAGTTTGAGAATGTGGCCGGAGGCTCGCGGCTCACCTGTGGCGGCAGCGGAGCAGGAACCTCAGGATCTTGCGAGCAGCCTGGTTCTGTTTTTTAGTGAGGATGCTGCTGCAAACAAAAGACAAGCGGCAGATGCTTTAGTGACATCTCTTGTGCAACCCCAGCGACGTCACACCCGCGTGAGCACATGGAGCACCTGAGGGAGTGCTTGTAGGAGCGGTAGTATTGCTGGATGAGGACTGCTGCCCTACGACTCTGCTGGAACTTCCTCTGTTCGTGGAAACTCCGGAAACGACTCTGGATCAGGATGGCTGCCAAAGTCATCCTCTTATAAAGTGCATACTGTAAGGGAAGACCGACATGAAGCGTGATGTTAGCAAAGAAGTGTTTTCTGAATTTTTTTATTCTTTTGTATATTTTGTTCCTTACTTTTCTACATGGCCTTCCTCAAGTAACTTTACCCCTTGGACCTTTCCACATTTCTTATGCTACAACCACAAATTTAACATGTTGTCTTTGGATTTTGTGCAATCTTGCGAAATGAAAGAAAGTGATCTTACACATGTTTTTTTTTTCATGTTTAACTTATAAATATCTGATAAGTGTGGCTTGCATTTATTTTAGCTCCCTTTAATCCGATACCCCTAAATCAGTTTCCTAAGTCAGTCCTCAGGGGTCTGTGTCCTGAATGTCCTGATGTTAAAATATCATGTAACCAGAACTATTTGCTTTGTGAATCAGACACTGATTTGAAGCAGAAGCAAACGATTGTTTCTCAGTCCTTTCTGAGAGTTTTTACATCTGTATTTGGTGCACAGAATGGCCGTGAGGGAACATTCATTTCCAGTCAAGACATTCAGAGTATTTTCTTTAACACACACAGAGACCTTCAAGCTATATTTACACATTCAGTGTAACACAATCTACTTTCCAACAACAACAACAAAAAGTCTCTATTAAAATCAACAATCTTACCTGCTTGTATCTCTTGTAGCAGCGTTGAATCACTGCTGCAATCTCTTTGTGTTGTTCCTGAATGGGACCCTGAGAAGAATGTTAGAAATAATTTAACCTAACATTGCAAATGTAACAAAATCACTGGTTGACAATAGAGTCACAGAGCGAGATACGCATCAGCCGCACCGTCTGCAGGAGCGGAGGTCATAACTTGCCTTGTGTTTTCTGAGGGAGTGCAGAGCACGCCTGATGGTTTCGTACAGCTCTTGCTGCTCTGACTCAGTCATGGCTAGACAGGAGGAGTTTGTTTTCAACTTCTCCTCCTTCATAGCTGCACAGAGGAAGGAGCTCCAGTCAAAGGGAGACGAGGGCTCTTGGTTTGCATGAGGAGTCAGCTGCTCCTCCAGCCCTGAGAGTGAATTTGGTTTGGGGCTTGTAGCCTGGGGCTTAGATTTTAGAAACCTGCACGGAAAAACCAAAAACAACACCAAGATACCAAGCTGAATGCTGTGACAGTGATTTATGTACTTTAAAAAAAATTATAAATTACTGTAGCAACTTATTCTTGCATTTCCACTTCACAAGAAAACATTTGCTGAATTATTTAAAGAATCGTGGTAATATCAAGAGACTTTGACTCACCTTTCCACCTCATCAAGGTAACCAGACAGTGACTTTACATCACTGCTGATGCCCACCTTTGCAGAATCTGTTTCAGTGACTGTGGTCTGCTTAAGCCTTCCAGCTGAAGCATCCATGATGTGATCAGCAAGCATCGTGATGTCCACCTATAGGAAGGAAGTTTTAAAGTTAACTTTTCCTGTCTTCTCTTTATGATTTAAAAAAAAAATGTATTCCTTACACCAAAACATTCTCTGAGTAGAGCAAAATAAAACCGCTCACTATACCTGAAAGTCATCTGAGTGATCCTGGTAGGTCAGCAGCTCAGTCTCCTCTCCCCTGTCGGACAGCACTCTCTGCCGCAGATGGATGGCCAGCCGTTCTTTTCCTTGAATTCTCCGGACCAGACTGTTTTGCCCGAGAGACCGTCTCAGGCTCCACACGTTGCCCCCCTCAGACCTCCTTATCCTGGCCTGCAGGTGAGAGAACGGGGCACCGGGGAACCGAGGCCGGTCCGGGGTGGAGCTGGAAAGAGGTGCTCTCTGGTAGCTGAGCTCAGTTTTTTGGGACTTGGGTAAGACGGACTGGAGAGGATTAGGCCTCGGGGAAGAGTCGAGGAGGGAGCTGATGGTGTTGGCGCCGGGGGCCGAGTTGGTGAGCTGCTGTTGGCTCGCGGGGTTAGATTTGAGACGCTTGGCTGGGGGGGGACCTCCTTCTTCCACGTTGGCTCCTGGTTGGGGCGTTTGACCAGTTTGGCTCCAGCTCTGGTTTAATGGTTGGCTCTCTGTTCTGTTTCTTCTCACCTCTACACAGGTGAAAAAAAAAAAAGTTAAAAATGACAACAAACCTTACAACGTACCACAAATTCCTACCAAAAACCACATCCTGCTCAGTGACAAAAATGAGCAGAGTTCGACTAAGCCAAAAAGTATTCAAGAATAATAATAATAATAAAAAAAATAGATACTAACTCACGACGTGAGGAGCTCTCATTTCTTAGCAAACCAAAAAGAATGTTCACAGAGAAACTTCTCGTGTTAGATAGAAGTGTCACTATAATTTGGCATAATTTGTGAAGTGGTGCTTGCTTGTGTTTTAACACATAATCACAGTGTCTCTCAAAACTATTTACACTCTCTTAGATATTTATATTTAACATGTTTAACATCTCAAAGCGGTTTTTACCTGTTGTAGTCACATTCTTCAATGTATTTTACTGGAAGTTAATGAGATAGACTCATGCAACAAAGTGCATAAGTATAGGAATTAAGGAAAATGATCCATAATTTTTACTTTTTTATTTATTTATTTTTTTACAAATAAAGTCCTCTAATCTGCTACCCCAAAATAAAATCCAGTGCTGCCAACTGCCTCCAGAAGACACTTAATTAGCACAGCTGCGTGCGTGTGATTCAATCTCAGGATGAATCCAGCTGTTCTGTGAAGGCCTTTGGGGTTTGTTAAAGAACATTAGTGAACAAACAGCATAATGAAAAGGTTGTTCTGTTTGAATTTTGCTGCGAGCTATTTCGGGAACACAGCAAACATGAGGATGAGGGCCTTTGTGTCAGATGAGGCAAACACTGAACGCTGCGCTTTCATCTGAAATGCTGTTTACCGGAAAACCGCCTCAGATTACTGCGAACACAGGACTGCAACAGTAAAATATGGCATCGGTGTCACACGGTGGCATGTTTTTCCTCTAGAGGGAAGCTGGTTATAGATGGATGGAGCAAAATATTGTAAAATCTTAGAGGGGAGGATTCACCTTTCAGAAGGATAACAGAAGGATAATAGTGAACACATATTTACGGCTCACATTTCAAATCTCTTTTATCAAAAACTTTGAAAACATTGTGTGAAATACCATCACAATGTGATGAAGCTCTCACACGATAAAAAGTAAAGACGTTCAAGGAGTATACTTTTATAAGGCACTGACTTTATCCTTTATTTTTATTTTAAAAAATGCACTGGCAGTATTATTAGACTTCTACAAATTAAGTGATGGGTGGTGTTAACATTGCAAAAAGAACATAATTAATGTTTTTATCCTTCTTTTAAGCTTAGTGCCTTTTAGCCTCACCAGTAAACATTAAGTATATCTAAAGCTGGGATAAAAGCTCAGACAGAGCTTTTCTCAGTTAAGAAAATCAGTCAGCCAGTGCAGCATAAAACACAAGATAGAAAATGACACTTAGTGGGCTTGAAACAGGCTGCTGGATGGATTTTTATGACTTTTGCACAATTACTGACCACATTTGTGCAGACTACTCCCTTAATACCAGTCAAAATCCGTATAAAAACGTTTCTAGTTAGTTTCCTTCATCAATTAAAACCTCAATCCTGAACAAAACATATTATGCTACTGAAAAAAACAAACAAAACAAACAAACACAAGATGCTCTTGGAACCTGGGGTTGGGTTGGTGCTGGAGCTGTTGTTGATTCCTCTGTTCTGCGATCCTCCTTTCCACTTCTCCATCCAACTCTCCGCAGGCTGGCCCTTCGTTTGAGGACTCTGCTGCAGTTGCTCCAAGAGCTCGGCCAATCGAGTGTGACCACGGGACCGGGCGATATTCAGCGGCAGGCGACCCAGAGAGTCAGGAATGGCAAGAGCTCTTGGGTCCCACTGGTACAGAACCAGTGCCGCCTCAGTGTGGCCCAAAGCACACGCCCACATCTACAGAAGATAGAATAACATAAACCTCATACACACAGGGGAAAAAAAAGTGAAAAAAAAAGAAGAAGAAGAAGAAGAAGAAGAAGAAGAAGAAGAATGTAACAGTACTGATCACTCACTAGTGGCGTGCAGGAGAAGTGGTCGACGTTAAGAGGATCCACTTCCAGTTCCAGGTCAATGCTGTCGGCATGCTTTGTGCTGTGAAGCGAAGCAGCAAATGAGAAATCACTTCACCTCCACAGCGGAGGGTCACGTCCGAGCGTTACTCACCGCCAGCGGATGAGTGTCTGGATGAGCCCCGCGTAACCCTGAGCTGCGGCCAGATGCAGTAGCGTCATTCCTCTGGAGTTCTTGCTGTGGACGAGCTGGTTTGAAGAAGTCCAACAGGGCTGGGACATCATCTTCTCACACACCACCACCACACGACCCTCAAATGTGCTCTGATCAGGGGAGCTCTGAGGGTTCAGAAGGAAAAAAGGCAAATGAGATAAAATGTTGGGAAATCTTTTATCCAAATGTCCAGCTGCCAATACCACTCTCTGGCTTTATTTGGGTTCTGTCCTGCTTTTTTCATTATTTTTCTTTTTTTTTTTTGAAGTCATGAAATAACAACAATATCCTGGGTCAGAGAAGTAGCAGTCTGGAATTATGAGATTAAAATATCATATTTTGCTTTATGCAAAATATGCTTTTCTTTTGTATAATTTTTGTGATGTCAAAATAGTAAAAAAACAAACAAAAAAAACATGTTTTGGTGAGTTAGTTTAAGGACAAAACATGTGGAGAACCTCACACCTCACTTTTTGTTGCATTCAATGAATAGAGGGACAAAAATCCAGTTTTTCATTATTGGACTAGTCGATCACTGATCTTTGGGAAAGGATTAGGACCGTAGGAAGAAATAAAAAGAAAGTTTGAGTTTAATTTCAGATTTTTTTCCCTTGTGGATCTAATCTTCTTCTCTACTGATCAGAGTCAACTGAGGAAAGATTGGTTGAGTTAACTCTCTGTCTGGTCGACTACTGTATCTCCTGACTCCTCTCCTCCTTTTTTGCAGCACATTTACAGGGAAAATAAATACATCTAAATGAATGCACTTTATTTTTAGATCAATAAATGAACTGAAAAATGTGACGAAGATAACTCATAGAAGTGTCATTTTATCAAAAGTTTATTTCATATGATTCATTAAAGGTTTAGGATATTAAATTCTGTCTGTGCTTGTAAGTTTGACGAGAATAACACGTTGCAGGACGAAACTTCATCTTTATGAAACACTGTTTTACAAATGAACCTTGATTGATTTTCTTAACTTTGATGTTTTTTTTTTCTCCCTTCTTCTTCTTTCATGTTAGATACTTTTATGTAGTTGTACAGGAAACATTTCCACACAACGGACTCTATGTCTTACTTGAGACCGCTGATCATTGGCTCCTCCCCCCTCTACTCCTCCACCCTTGGTTGCCATGGCTTCTGAGCCAGGGTTCTGATTGGTTATTTCAGCCATCCTTTGCTCCATTTGCTCCAAACGCTCCAGAATGGACATCCTGAATTGGGTGTCTGTGGAAATGCAGGTCAGAGGTTTAAATCGGTTTGCCTTATTTAGGTAAGGGGGCAGAGGGCATTACCCAGTCCTTCTTAAAAAAAAAACAAAAAAAAAAACAAAAAAAACCCCTGTGTGACCCCATCTTCTGCTCTATCTCTCTTAGTTTTCTGTTTTGGTTACTACTATTTCATGCTTATTTTATTTATGCTCCTCAAAGCACAGGATCAACAGGGAGGGTGGAGACTAAAGAGCTTCCATTTCTCTGACATCTTGGTGAGAGCAGTTTACTCCTAATAGAGAGTAAAAAAAAAAAAAGACATCCCAGTATAGTAGCTGTCATACACAATAATGCTCTGTTGTTCTCTCATGAACACATCAAACAAAAACAGATTCACAGACTGTTTCACAATAACAGAGTATAATTCAACCATTCAGCAGCTCTCTGCATCCAGGGGGGGAAAAAAAGCATTGAAACCATTGTTTTATATGCAGATATTTAAATAGTTTTGATTTGAGTTTAGAGTAGAATATGAGGTCTACTGTTTTTTTTTCTTCTTTTTGGATCACCAGAGAAGCTCCACAGCTCCAATGCTGTCAAAATAAATTTACTAGTACTTCGATAATGGCTCTTTAGCATCACAAAAAGGCTAAATACAACTACCTTGCGAAAACCTCAGAGTTTTTAGAGAACATTAGTGAACATACAACATCACAGAGTCCATAGGAGATTAGTCAAGGATAAAGTTATGGAGAAGTTAGGGTTATGAAACAATACCTTGACTTTTGACCACGTCACTGTCCATTGTTATTTAGCAAAAAAAAAATAAATAAAAATAAAAATAAAAAAAATAAAAAAAATATGAAATGCATGCAGTCGTACAGGTAAGAAAGCCTCCTGAGTTCTGTGTTGTTGTCATGGGCCTTTACAGGAGCAAGAGTCTCCTTCTATTGTGGTTGGAGGGATCAGTGGAGCTGTCCCCTCCTCTTGGTGCTGAAATCGCACAGGTCAGCCAACAAGAATAGACGAGCAACATGGTTTACTTCAGTCAAACAATTTTCTGTCTTACTGCAAAACATAGCCAGTCACGAGTTAAATTGCGAAAAAAACTGAAGAAAAAAAAAAAGAAAGAAAAAAACGATTTAACCGACCCAGCCGCCTTCATGTCTATCAACTGCAACATGGCAGATAAGTGCGATCCTAACGCAGCAGCTGTAAACAATACACACCTGAACGTCAGTAGAACAGCGCGATGAGAAGATACCATCAGAGTCTTTGTGTCTGCTGCTGTTTTCGATTTCTGTTCCCGCTTCTGCTAAACCTCCATCAGTCTGAAGTGAACGACTCACACAGCCTCGCTTCTCCAGCCGTAAAAAAAAAAAAAAAAAAAAAAAAAAAAAAAAAAAAAAAAAAAAAAAAAGGGAAATAGGGGGGGGAGGGGGGGGAAGGAGGACAGGGGGGGGGGAGGGG